TATGTGGTCCAAAGTTGAGAAGGATAGGAAATATAATATTACATATTACATACACAATATCATAGCCACTCTTTCAATATGGTCATAGGGTGAATGATTATCTTTTTGATGAATATTGATGCCAATTCCTCTTTTTGTTTTGTTATTGTTGCAAATGACGTTATATTTTATGAAATAGTTTTTTTGATTCTTTCTTATTTTTAATATACACTGGATAGAGTTTTTTTTACTCTTTCTGAATTTTCACTTTTTAATTTTAATTAATTGTCAAAAGGTTTTTTTCGTCAACATAATTGTCAATAGTCTTTTTTGTCATAATTTTCAATAGTGTATTTTTCCTATTTAAAAAAATGAAAAGCCAAAGAATATAAGTAAAATTTGATCTATCATTAAAATATTATATTATTATATTTTTTAACTTATGATTGAGACCATATCATATACAATGCTTATAATTTAGGACATACACATTTTCCTTATTTTTTTTACCAAACTAAACTTTTCATGAATTTAGAGAGTTTTAAACTCTATTACAAGAGTAGGAGTTACAACCAAACTAATGAAAAATACACAAAAGCAAGGAAAGAAGGGCCATATAGACCACCAAACAATGGTTAAACGAGAGATAAATTGACAGTACAAGTTAAAAAGAAAATGTTATAAGAAGTTGAACACCTTAAACGATCACGTGAGCCTCTTGAATATGGCCACATCCACTGCAATCCGAAAGATTACAAACACTGCACCAAAGGGAGAGAAGACCATCAACTGGGACGAAGATCCTTGCAAAACCGACGACGCTTGAATTACCAAATCGCTCCAAATAGAAGGAAATGTTGGTTTTGATAACTCCAACATCTTCATTCCTTCAAAAGAGGGTTTTGATAACATAAAACACTCCATAAAGGAGTAGACATGGCAAAGCTTACCCAATACAACACATGACAAATGGTGAATGGGAACCTTGAAATACATTAAAACGTTAGTGAATGAAATCTCAAAGAAAGGGAATCGACCAAAAGCTATAAGCTTAATATCAACAATAAAGTTTGAATTCTCCACAAGTAAGAACCGAATCCATGATTCTCAATAATGATGGTTTTCAGCAAATTCTTTGTTCATCTCTCTAGAAAACAATACCCGATGAGCAATACATTGAACTAAAATTGCTAGGAATTTTCAAGTAGCTTTTCAAGTAGCAATCTCATACTGAGGTAATAGACGGCTAAAGGAAAGCTTAAGAACCTCATGTTGAAGTAATTTGAACTCATATTAAAGTAAGCAAAACCTAAAGTAAGGTAATTTTTGAAGAAATGATGTTCGAGAAACGGGATCTCATAGATGATACATCTCCAAAGCGTGTCTGGGAGCAACAGAGAGAGACGAGGCTTCGTTTTTGGTCGGGGCAAACGACAAGAGAGAGGAGGAGATTTAAACCGGGAACGACGACGAATTTGGAGGTCCTGGTGGAAGAAGAAGCTCCGATGGCACCAGATCTGTTGAGTGAGATGGCATAACTACAGGGTCTGGTGGCTTCGACAAAGTTGAAAGGGTCTCATCGAAGACAAGGAAGTGGTACGGTCGTGGAGATCATCTCTCCTAAAGCCGGCCTTCTGCGAGCTTGAGCCAAGAGGAGGAGAAGAGTGGTTCTTTGACAGAGACGCCACCGGAGAGATGGGAGGTGATCGCTCAGAAAAGCATGGAGCCGTTGTATTAGAACAGGTGATTTGAGGAGTAAGAGTTGTTTTAAGAAGGGAGGGTGAGAAAGCTTCGGAGGAGAAGGTTTCAAAGGGAGTCGCTTTTTCTTGGCCATCGGTGCAGAGTCGGCGATGGAGGCCAGAGCTGACGCGGTGATGGAGGATTAGGTTTGACATACACATTTTCCATTTACACAATCCGCAGCTCTACCACGATCACAATACTTTTCAATCTAAAATTTTGCATTCTTAGATGAAATAAGTAATAAGTAATTAACATCTTAAAGTTGTCAATCTAAAATATTATATTCTTATATTTTTAAGTTATGTTTGAGATAATATCATATACATCGCATATAATTTAAGACATACACATTTTCCATTTACACAATCCACAACTCTACCACGATCACAATACTTTGCAATCCTACAAAATTGATGGTGAAAACGTGATCAAGCTTCACAAATTAGATATGTAATGGTAGTGAGGAAAAAAAACCCTACATGTTACGTTTAGTTAAGAACTAATCTTGAAGGTTGGCACCATGAGTCATGTGTGATTATGATTTATGAGGCACATTTCAAGAAAAAGCATATACATGGGTACAAAAACATGGAATAGGTTTTTTTTGTTTTCATCAGACCAAATTTTATAGATTACTTAAGTTTCAACCATGGAGAAAGTGTTAAAGTCTAACAAAAAGACATAGCTAATGAAGCGGCTAAACATATGCCGATCAAAGTAC